AAATTAGATCTTCATCCCCTGAGCCTTCTTGGCCAATAACTCCTCGACTTCCTTTTCGTGCTTGGAGAAGTTGTCGACGAGGTTATCCCACATCTTAGGCTCGTGTTCGTGGCGCTTGTTGCTTGTCCAGGCGTAGTCGGTGATGGTGAATGGGCGACTTGACTCGAACATGAATGCCATTGAGGCTTCGGAGATCCGCATGGCTGGCGGGTCGACTTCCGTGGCGGCTTTGAATTCTTCGTAGGCGACGCCGTGGGGGACCACTGTTGATGATTGAGTTAGATGGATGATCTATCTGGGTCGGGATGGGGGTGATGCTTACTGCCACATTCGAAGGAGACACTTCCGGGCTGGAAGGCGTCGGAACGACCGCCGTAGTCGCCGTAGATTAGACCCATCAGTTCGGAGGCGGCGTTGCGGTGGTAGTATGGAGGTCGGTAGGTGTCTGTTATTGGTACTGTTAGCGAGGTGGGAGAGTCAAGTGATTTCAGTTTGTGGGGGTACGTACGCGATGCAACATCCCAGCGAGGAGAGAAGATGAGTAGATCGGCCAAGGGAGCAGTGGGATCCCGAGACTTGGCTGTAAGGACACAGAAGATGGAGGGGTCCATATGATCAACGGAGATGGAGCCGACGTTGACGAACTTGGTCATGTCGTACTTGTAAGGCACCTATATGACCCATTAGTCTACTTTTGGTTGGAAACATGCTGGACAGGGGAGTAGCATACATAGTTGCCATGCCAGGCAACCACGTCAAAGGGACTGTGGTTCTGTGTGCTCTTGAAGAACTTTCCGCCCAGCTTGTAGACAATCTCCCAAGGCTCCTTGGAGATCTCGTACTTGGCCGTAGGGTAGAGGAAGTCCCGTGCATTGGCGAGTCCGTTGGCACCCAAAGGTCCCAGCTCAGGGAGTTCGAATTGACTACCCCAGATTTCAAGAATGTAACCCCGAGAAGGCCCATCGGGAAGCTCTACGCGGAAACGGATGCCGCGTTGGATAATGACAATCTCTCCAGGCTGGACGAACAAGGGACCAAACTCGGTCTGAATGTCCAGTGCACCCTGTTGAGGGACGATGGCCATCTCACCATCCGAATTGACAAAAGCCTTCTTGGTCATGCTGGTGTTAGCAGTGTAGACGTGGGTGGCCAGGCCTTCCCGGAGGGTTGGCTCGCCGGAGCCAGCCACGGTCTTCAGACCAGAGACAAAGTCTACTTCGCCATTGGTTGGAATGTCAAAAGGGTGCCAGGCAAGCTGGGTAGGGGAGACATGGACGCGGGGGTTCAGAGGGAGAAAGTTGGATTCTGTGTCCTTGTTATCGGGAAGGTCGGTCTATAGTCAATGTTAGTAGGTAGCAACCCTAGATGACAGCTGCAGAACATACGAATCCCTGGTGGGCAACAGCCGGACGGGCACGGTACAGCCACGCCTTCTTGTTGCAATGCCTCGGGGCAATGAAGGCCGTGGCCGTCATCTGCTCAGCGTACAGGCCAAAGCGGACATTACGAGGGCTGTTTTGGCCCTGTGGAAGGGTTCCAGGCACAGCCTCGGAGGCGAACCTAGTAGATTAACTACATCAGCCAGTTGAATCGCTAGATGCAGGAGAACGCTTTGACATACGAGTTGCCGAATCCGGCTTGGTACTGTTACACTTGAGTTAGCTACGGTAAGCAGAGGATAGGCATTGGCACAAAACACTTACTTCATAAGGATCATTCCGCCTGGTAGCGAAGGAGGGAATGGTGCCATCCTTCTGTGTCTCTGCCCAGTGGAAGATCTTCTGGTATTCTTTGGGGTCGGCGAGGTCACTTGTGGAGGGCATGATGGGTGGTAGGTCTCAAAAAAGGAGCTATTATAGGAGTAAAGGGGAGTTTGAAGAAAGAGGATAGCGCGTTTATAGAGTCATGAACCGTGATATATGGGGAGGAGAGCCGGGGCAGGTTCCAGCAGGCTCATATACTTGAGCTGGTGGAGTCGGTCCAAGCGGGAAGCCATTATGAAGCAATTAATCAGACCGCTGGCCATCCGGATATCCGGGCCAGCTGATTCCAAGACAGCAAGTCAGGATGGATGGATGAGACCAGAGTTTGGGAGTATTGGATGGGTTGCATACAATATGGGAAGTTGGCAAGTAATTGGGGGACTGTTCGGCAGATGTCGAGGGGGTAGTGTTGCCGAGAGCAGTAGAAGCCATGAGGAACTCAGGCAACATCAGGCACCTAAGGCATCAGCCAGTGGAGCGACCCCACATGAGTCAGGCCTGAGTAACGGTGGGGAAGTTCGCCCGCCTTTGCGCTTGCGGGGACACCCCCGGGTAGCAGCCATCGCTGGAATTGCCGATGTATACTATATCCTCCAAAAAGAAATATCTACTAAATATCAATAGTCACAGCTTACGGTGACACAGACAAAAGAAATTATATTATAGGATGTGTTAAAGGCATTGTATTTGAAATTGTTATATGTATCTCTATTGAAACTATGAAGTAGATCGCCGTCTAATTCAACAAGCTAATCTTGCCTGCCGTCAAGGCAAATACAATAGGCATATACACACCTATCCCAGCCTCTCTAAGAGCTTGAACATGCTCGACCCGTCGTCTAGACGCAAATTGCGCTTCAGAAATCTCTCCACAGCTCCCCAGAGGTCCGTAGGCAAATCTTCGCTCCGTAGACCACGGGCTACCCCCGTTGACGAACTGTACCCAACGCGTCCGCATCTCCTGACCGACAGCTTTTGCAGCAGGGTTGAAGGACAGGTCGACGCCATCAAACAGGAACAGCAGGTCAACAGCATGATGGGCTCGGCTGGAAGCCTGCCACGGGTTGGCCTGGTCAACCACGTACTTGTAGACTCGTTTTCCTGCTGCCTGCAGTTTCTCGGCTACGACTTCCACCGGCAGCGTATAACGAACATCATTCACAAGATCCAATGCACCCAGCTTGCAGGCAGTTGGTCGATCAGAAACAACCTGATACATCGTGCGTAGCTTAGTGCCCCACTTCTCATCCTGCTCAAACGCTGCAGTAATGGCTTCTCCATCGAATGTCTCGATTCCGTTCCTCCAAATGACGGACTGCACGGAGGTAAGTAAATGCTTTCAAATACTGCAATGAAGGATCACTCACCTCATACTCCGTATCACCAATCATGAGTTCGTCCACCAACTCAGACTTGCCTTCCCATCCTTGAAAGTCCTCATCCTCTTGTATCCACATGGTGTTCACATTGCACTCCTTCAATGCCTGCAATAGAGCGGGCACCGACGACAGCCGGAGCGACGGCTCGCCCAGTTCCTGCACCTTGGCTTCCAGCGCATTGATGAGTCCTTGACCCTTCTCAACCGGTAAGGGAGAAGAGAGATAGAGAGATCCAGAAGCCAGAACAGCCCTTTTAACAGGTGTACCAGTGACTAGATGAGCATGAGTATATACCGCCCCAGCACTCTCTCCAGCCAATGTGATGTTGTTCTGTAGGGATATTGATTAGCTTTAGTAGATAGACCACCGCGCCACGTAGTACATACTGGATCGCCTCCAAAGGCGGAGATGTTTTTCCGCACCCATTCAATACCCAGTTTCTGATCCTTGACAGCAAGGTTCTTCTCCTTGCCGTCGCCAAAGCTGAAGATATTGAGTCGGTAGTTGATTGAGACGAAGATGATAGGCTGGCCGGTTTTGATAGAGTCCGCTACAATCTTGATAGGATCTATTGACTCCGTTGTCAGTTTCTGATAATGGAACACTCTTGGCTTCCCTTACCGCAGATCTTCGATGCAGCTGAGCAAAACGTCACCACCTGGGATCCTCCTGTACGACGTATTTAGCAATTGCTTTCTAGACAGTATAGAAAGATCATATGACGTTACATACCGTAAATCCACAAAAGCACAGGAAGAGGTCCCTTGGCAGAAGACGCCGGAGGACAGGTAATATCCAAGTTCAAGCATTCAAACTCATCCTCAGGCTCTTTTCCAATTGGAAAGTCCTCCGGGATGCGCAACAAATGGCGAACGTCAACATCGACCTGTGGACACCTCGGCCTACCCAAGATTGAATCCAATATCAGCACTCATTCACGCGTCCAGCATGGAAGGATTCAGAGCAGTACCCATATTGAGAAGCATCAACCACAGCATCCCCAAAATCATCCACCGGCTGAGCCCGCTCGAACCGCGCGGGGACAGATGCGTACTTGATACCCCGAAACTCATTCACCGTGACTCCCTCCGACCCCCTCTCAATACCCGTAAAAGTCGCACGAAGACCCTGATGTTGCACTAGCGGAGATGCCATTTTGCCAATACTTTCATAGTATGCTACACACGAAGAAGAGGAATTATGACCGAGGACAATATACAGGACAGTCCAGCCGGAAAGACAGGCGGGGATGGTGCCACCGGCTCGCCAAATTTCCTATGACGAAGCATTCTAGCTCAGCTTCGTCTTCGTCAGTGATTTCTCAGCATCATCCCTTCTGATCCGGCTCATGATTCACCAGGAAATGCCGATATCCGAGCTGTCTGGCTGGGTGACTGGCTGGATTGAGGGCAACTTGGGGCTGGCCGTCGCCCCCCAATCCGTCATGAGGTGGGGCTGTTGCGGGGAGATCCACCCGCTGCACAAAGTTGGGTCTTTCTTTTCTGCTTTTGGTCGATCTTTTTGGTTCCTGGCTGGGCTCGGTTCGAAGACACGGACGGAGGCGGGAATGGTTTTCTTGCCGTTTCACTACTTAGTGCCACTGGCCTGATTCTCAGAAATGGGCAGTTGAAACCGGGCTGTTGTTCCTTGTCTTCCACTCAGAACAACAACACCCAAAATTGTCTATCCTTCAACCCAGTCATTACAATCCTCGATATGCTTGTTTGCATGAAGAGTCAAGTAAGTTCATATCTATTGAGGCGAGACTATTTTACCAGACATTACCACTATGTATATACACCATTTTATGCTAAACCGCTTAACCCCATTTCTTTCTTTTCCCCTTCTTCATGGTCAATCACTCTTCCGATTCAGCCGTTTCACTTCGCTTCTTCCTGAACAGAAACCCTCCCAAGAACAACAGAATAGGCACACCAGATACACCAGTCAGCAAGGCCAAAGCCCACGTCATGGTCTTCCAGCCCGCATTTTCCCGGATAAAGCCCGCAAAGAACGGACCAACAATGGTTCCAGCAGCATACGCGGAATTGAGGATGCCATATGACAAAGCCATGGCACCACCCTTACCGAAGATATTCGGGTCCTGTGCTTCCTTTTCCTCCACAATGTATGACGCCTCAACCAACAGGGGAGGCATCAATGAGGCTATACAAAAGCCGATGAGGACCAACAATGCGCATAACAACACCTTCTGGCCCATGGAATCGTGCGTGACAAGACGGAGCAGCACCATGAAGGGTATGGTGGAGAACAATGCTCCTGCCGCCATATAGCGTCGTGCATTCACAAACTTGTCGTTGATCCAGCCGAAGAACGGATCCGAAATATGAGGGACGGACAAGGGCACGAATATGAGCCCCTGACCTGTCTGGTCCCAGCCAAAAGTGTCCTCGACGAAGAGAGGAAGGACGCTGTCAAATGAAGTCAGGACCACGGAGACGATGAAGTACGCCCAGATGGTGACTATCATGCGCTCTGAAGCGAGAAGAGTAAGAACAGCGCTTCTAGTCTTCTTGGGACTCGCATGTCCAATACTTTCAGCAGCCTGCTGTCCGATTGCAACCGGTTCCTTGGACTTATCATCAGATGCACCAGCGGACAATCGATCAGTAACATCTTCCGCATCAGAGCACTTCTCCGTGGTTTCAGACGGCGAAATATCCGGACCTTGTTCCTTCTCCTGTTGCAACCACTTCACGGCATGCTTCTTCTCGATCATGACCAACCGCAAAACAATATCCACACCGACGAGAGCAAATGCCAGAGCAAAGACGGCATAGTATCCGCCACGGGCATAGATGACACCACCAAGGAGTGGCCCACCCATGATTCCAAAGGTCATACCCATGCCGATATAGCCCATTGCCTGCCCAAGGCCATCTTTTCCCACCGTGTCGACCAGCAACGCGGCTCCGACCGTCCATACAACCGCTGCGGATGCGCCCTGGAAGATACGGCCAATGATCCAGAGACTAAGGTGAGTCCCTACACAGAGTAGAGCCGTGGAAGCGCCTAGTGCCAGCAATCCGACAATGAGTGGCCACCATCGAGACTCAAAGCGGTCGGCGATGTAGCCCGCAACGGCTGGTATCACAGTCAATTAGCTTGAACATCCGTTGAAACGATACTGCAAGGGTGATACTTACGCGATGCTGCTAATAGCGCTGCGCCATACAATGCTAACAAGATAGACGTCCATGATTGTTCTACCCAGTTTATAGTCAGCATCAACTCACCATCTATAGAACAGAACTGGTTAACTCACCCTGATCAACAGACATCCCAACCCTCTCATGTAAAGCGGTAGGAGCCACGGGAACAATCTACGATTGACTTCAACATCAGTAATCTAAACCCAGATATAAATGAATACAATGGTACACTCAAGCAACATACCAGTCCATAAAGTAAAACATCCTATCCAACATCCGATAGTTAGCACGTGGGTCAAGGGTCCAAGCCAAATTAAGTAAAGAAAAGCAAAGCAAAGCATACCGTGAAGACAGCAAAAACCACCACGAAGATAATAAACGCATTAGATGACCTCCACTTCAAGAATACCGGTGGCTTGGTGTCATTCTGCCCTGGCACTAAGCCACGCAGATTCCAGGTCATGTTATAAGGCTGTATGTATGTATGTATGTACTAGAACTGCTTGAATGGGACTGGGTCGTTCCGCAACATCGGGACCGACTGACTTTCTGCAATGCTTAGGTGGGTTGTGTGACTTTTAACGGAATGTTTTAGTGTAATGTAGATCAGGAAGATTACTTAATACCAGTAGATTAACTAAATGAGATTTACTTTGTGTCAGGAGTGAAGGTCTAGTTATACGTGTACGAGGGAGTGGCCGATCAGGGTCAAATCCTGTTGCTATGCGATCTGCTCGGCGCCCGCGGGACCCGAGCCCAGTCTTATCGATGGGTCACAGACTCACCAGCGGGACGGGATGAAATATCTACATGTTATTACGAATACGAATGGTCAGAATATGAAGTAATAATGGTTGACCAATTGTGAAGTGGCGTATTGATTTTCGTGACTCATGGCATAATGCTGCCTTATGGGGGCTACTGCAGGTTTCATATTCGCCACCGTCTTCATAGCTTGTACATCTCGCTGCGGCTGCGCACCCCGTCAAAAATGCAAGTGTTATCCAAGGGCACATACTGCCTGGTAATTACTTTGAGCGCCTCCTGCGCGACTAGTCCTCCGGTGAGCGAGGAGATGTTGTGTAGTTCACCGCCTTGCGTCCTCCGTAGCTCCTGTGCCGCTTGTGAAATTCGCTCCCTCGCGTCTCCGTCCTCAATAGTGGATGCACCTTCAGGTTGAAGCGCACCAAGGATGCGGTCTATTGCAGAGTCCCACACTTTCTCATCATCCAAGGCCTCCTCTGATATCTTGCCCGCTTGGATGTCGGTGATTATGTCATCCAGGGCCTGGAAGGCAAGGAAGGTCGGCACAAGGGAGTCTGGAATATCAATGTTGTTCCGAATCGCCTTTAAAGTAGTTGCCTCCCCATCCACTATCGGAATATCGCGGCCATGGATAACCTTGATGTGAGCCGCATTCTTGCAGAAGACCTCAATATCCTTGTCCGAAGCTGGGGCCGGGCGTGGTCCAAGCTGTGCTTCAAGGCTTCGGACGATCTGAGTAACTTCTTCTATGTCCTTGCGAGCCTTTGACTTGTAGATGTTCTGAAGAGAAACATAGTCGGCTGATTGAGCCTTCATGTCGGGTAGAGAGCCCGGTAAAGGAAGTACACTGTGTCTCTGGTAGTATTCACGGATGGCCGCCGCGATAATCCAGAAGTTGGCCGAGTCCGGGGCTGGGTGCTTGCATTCTTCCATCTCGAAGATCTCACGAAGGGAACTGCGTAAGCTGAATGGGTTCAAGGTCTTCAAAACTGCGGCAACAGCCTCATCATAGTTCTCCTCTCCACCTTCGGGGTTGCTTGTTCTTGCACTCGACCGCACCAGTTCCCTGAATTCTGATTTTTCTTTGTAGTTCGATGGCACCTGGCCATCGTGCGCTTCTTTCCACTGTTCTAGGTGATGCAGAAGAAGCAGAATGTACGGGACATGGCCATGCTGGTGATCATCCAGGCTGTCCAGGTTGCGAATGCTAGCACCGGCCGCTGCCAACTCAGGCCACGGGTTTAGGAGACGGAGATCCTGTGTGCTTTCAGGATCTGGATGTGTCTCTACTATAGGGAATGCGGCCGGGAGCTGGATAGAGAAGGTGGAATAGAATCCAACCGAGCGTGTGTAGATTACTGGGATGCCAAACTCTTTAGCAGCCTTGCAAATGGCCTCCAAAGAAGGGCGTTTTACCGGTCCAGACACCAAGACCAGCTTGTGCTGCGGAAGAAACTCAGGGTCCTTCAGCAGTTCTGAGATTGACTTGTGCTCAGTCTTCGTTAGCTCTGCAACAGGATCGAGCAGTTGGGGTGGATGAAGTCACCTTAGTATAGAAGCTTCCATCTACGTCCGGGTTTAGTTCTCGTAGCAATCGACAGGTCTCCTCGGCTCGGGACTTGCCCAAGCTCTCTTCTTCCAAGAAAAAGTTGACCCCGAGGTCCGGCTCGGTGACAACTGCAGGGTCCACAATCGTGAAACCTCCGACCCCAGGAAGTACAAGGTTCTTAAGGGTTTCCACGCCGACTACACCGGATACACCCGTGTTGTGCTTGCCCCAGGGTTCGTCAGAGTTGACGAGAAGCACGCGGGACTCTTCTAGAGCTTGCTGTCCACTTGCTGCCCACAAGCGCAATTGGCGATCATATTTCCTCTCTTTCGAGGACGGTCCAACCAAAGCACTCGGGAAGGCCTCTGCCATGAGGGGCTAAAGCGGAGAAGAGACGGAGATAGACAAAGACGAGTTAGGTCGAAAGGAGGGGGATCAACAAGCTGGAATAATGTTCCAGTGACAATCCCTGGTTGTAAGAAGATGGAGCAACACGATCACAAGCACCCGAATGGACCGACGACTTGTTGAGGTATTGATATTCCGATCAAGTAAGAGCGATGGAATCCATATGTTGGCTGTAGTCACATGATCGATGCGATGCACGGACCCACCAGAGCTGCTTGTGGCCTTGCTGCCTGTATGCCTGAGGCTGCCAATACTATGACGACACAACCCCGCCGGAGGAAAAGACGCCGAACAACAATCTGTCACTCGCTGCATTTATCAGACGGATCTACTCTGTAAGGTAAGCGGATGATATAAGCCGTCAAGATCTCAATTGCTATGCCATGAGATTCGTACTTCCGCGTGGCTGTCTGTCATCCCTGTAAGTGGTCCAATCCTTTTGCTGGAAAACCTTCCCTGGGCTTGTCGCATCTCCCCCCACCGCGGGCATCCACTACATTTGACGGTTCCTCCCCGAATTTGCAGGGGCTCGATTCGAGGGTTTCTTGTCCCCGGAATAGTCCGCCTACTAATCTTAAACAACAGACCCGGGCTCGGCAGTTCCCCCTCATCTTCTATTTATTCTCGTGTTCGTCTCTGCTTACGACCAGATCGCTCGTCTCCTCCCGTTGTGCCCCTCTTCTCCATTCCCAACGCTACCTTCCGCCGTCATTCCACCATGGCCAGCGTCGTCGAAGCCGCAAAGCGCGCTGCCGGTAAGGCTGCCGTTGAGAACCACTACCCCAAGGACGCCAAATACGTCGGCATTGGCAGTGGTTCGACCATTGTCTATGTAGTCGAGGCCATCAAGGAGTCCGGAATAGACACCTCCGCCACCAAATATGTCCCCACCGGCTTCCAGTCCAAGCAGCTGATTGTCAGCGCTGGTCTGACCGCGGTGGACTTTGATGCCCTCCCCGAAGGCACGGTTCTGGATGTTGCCTTCGATGGTGCCGATGAGGTTGACGATGAGCTGAACCTGATCAAGGGTGGTGGTGCTTGTCTCTTCCAGGAGAAGATTGTGGCTCTTCAGGCCAAGGAGTTCATCTGTGTGGCTGGTGCGTATGCCTTACGACTTGCTAGTCCGACATATACCGGCAATTTTTATAGAGATCATGCGCACTAACTTCCCTATGATAGACTCCCGCAAGCTCCAATCCCGCCTGCTCACTGGCTGGAAGTACATCCCCATCGAAGTCGCTCCTATCGCGGCCCGTCGCGTTCTCGGTGCTCTCAAGGAAATTGGCAGCATTGACCCCGCTATCCGCTTGAACTCCGATGCCAAGCAAGGCCCCTTGAAGACCGACCAGGCCTTCTACATTATCGACGCTCCCTTCAAGACTCTGCTGACCCAGGCAGACGTGGCTGCTGGAAAGGACGGCAGTGGCAAGGATGGCGTGTGGGAGGTCCACGCCCTCTCTCAGGCCATCAAGCAGATTCCCGGTGTTCTCGACGTGGGTATCTTCTCTGGCGTGACGGGCCCTCAGGCGCAGGCGCTCGGTGGTGTCGGAGGCCAGAAGCCTATTGCTGCCTACTTCGGTATGCCTGACGGCTCGGTGTCCGTCAGAAAGGCCGCTGCTTAATTGGGACTGCTCCCTAACGCCATATACGATACGTCAAGAGATTAGAAGAAAAAGTACAAGTACAAATGATACCATGTAGACTGTTAGCACGAATCGGACTATTTTACGCTTTCTATAACCTGGTGCCTCGTAACTGTGATATCAATGAACCAAAAGTAAGAACAAGAACACCAGTCTCCGCACGCCGGTCATCAAGACAAAGTAAGTTAGTTTCATAAGGCGACAATATACTCAAGCTTATTTGGCGCCCTTCCCCTTCGCTTCCGTCTCTCCAAGCTCACGTACAAAGATCTTAACCGTCCCTTCGACAACATCATCTTTCCCATCCTCGAAGCCCGGACTAATCGCAATCGCCAGGTACTTTCCATTACCGCTGAAGTCCACGGCAGCCACACTCGACGGGTACTTCTGGTACTGTCGGATTCTCCTCTTCGCGATACCATCCCAAAGCGCGACCACTCCATCACCACCGCCAGAAGCAAACGTACCATGGACCGGGTGGAACGCCAGCGCATTGACAGGGTAGACAACGTCGACATCATCTGCCGTCTGTCTGTGACACTTGAAGGCATATTTGCGGGCCTGCGATTCAGCAGACGGATCGAACCATTCGACCGCAACACGGCCCTCAATACTGGATGACGCGTATCCTGCATCGTCAGGCATGCACGCCACCGAGCGAGTCATGAACTTCAAGCTGCTCTCCCTTCGCTGCCAGGGCTCGATTTCAATCTTGTTGGGGCCCGTACCCTCCGACTGAGCGGTGAGCATGGCCAATGCTTTCAGATCGTAGATGTGTAGGGCGCGAGAAGCCATAGCGACGACGAGCTTCGTAGCGGTAAGAGACATGGAGAAGGGCTTCGAGGGGAGGGGAATGATAGCGGGGGCTGTGGCGGGATCGTTCGTCGGGTGCACATGCAACGTGGAGTCCCAGGATGCGGATATTACTAGGTTGTGTTCCTTGCTGAAAACGACGCTGCGCACGCCGGCCTCGTGGCTGCTGAGGACGGTCTGGGTGGAGGATGCTACATCGATTCTGTTTGGTGTCAGCAGGGAATGGATTGAGGATGCGCCAGTTGCTAATGGAGGTGACGTGAACTCACTTCTTGACGTCCCAGTCCAAACCAGCCGTGTAGATCTCATCCTCGGTTGCGCCGAAACACACATCCAACACCGGAGCACGATGCTCGAACTTCTGTAACAGCTTTCCTTCTCCGACGGCGCCATTCTCGTCGCGCAGGTCGTACAGATACACGTTCTTATCCCATGAAGAAACGACGATTCGCGTGGAGTCGGGGTCGGGCGAGAACTTCAAGGCGGAGATAGCATCCGTCGGCGGGGACGCGACAGAGAATTGATCTGGTACCTGTCAGTGGATGAAGATTGCCACGGATAAGATTCGCGACTTACTTGACGCCATATTCTTTGCTTGAACCTTCAACGAGCCCAATTGTATATCGTTGTTGATCGGCCCGTCGTCATGGAAGCTTCACCTTCAGACCATTTTCTGCCATCCGCCACCGCCCTGGAATATTCTCCCCGCCATCATCATCGATTGATTGCATTGACGTCGGACATTCTCTGGATCGAACACATTCTTGTGCGCAGATCTTCATCATGCCGTTCGCACAACTTGTGATAGGTCCCCCGGGTGCCGGGAAGTCAACCTACTGCAATGGCATGCACCAGTTCCTCGGAGCTATTGGTCGCAAATGCTCCATTGTGAATCTGGACCCCGCAAATGATAAAACATCATATCCGTGCGCGCTGGACGTTCGCGACCTTGTCACGTTAGAGGAGATCATGAGTGAGGATCAGTTGGGACCTAACGGGGGTATTTTGTATGCGCTGGAGGAATTAGAGGAGAACTTTGACTGGCTTGAGGAGGGACTGAAGGATCTCGGAGGTATGCGCATTCTGCCGTGAAGATGTTACAGGAACAAACGCTAATGCTTATATACAATAGAGGACTACGTCTTGTTCGACTGCCCGGGCCAAGTTGAACTGTTCACACACCACTCTTCCCTCCGGAACATATTCTTCAAATTGCAGAAGATGGGCTACAGAGTACGTCCTCCCGGTTTCATCCGGAGTTACATGTTATGCGATACTAACTAACGGACGTTGCGCAGCTTATCGTGGTCCATCTCATTGACTCCTACAACCTCACTCTACCGTCGATGTACATATCCGCCCTTCTCCTCTCCCTCCGCGCCATGCTCCAAATGGATCTACCTCACCTGAACGTCCTCACCAAGATCGACAACCTATCGAACTATTCCCAGCTGCCATTCAACCTTGACTACTATACAGAAGTGCAAGATCTCAGCTACCTCCTACCGCACCTCGAAGCCGAGTCGTCACGGCTATCACACGAAAAGTTCGGACCGCTCAATAACGCGATCATCGACCTTGTGGAGGAATTCGGACTAGTGAGCTTCGAGACGCTAGCCGTAGAGGACAAGAAGAGCATGATGAATTTACTGCACGTTATCGACCGTGCCAGTGGCTACGTCTTCGGACCCGCCGAGGGTGCCAATGACTCCATCTGGCAGGTTGCTGTCCGAGAAGGCCTGGGACAGATGGACATCCGAGACGTGCAAGAGCGGTGGCTCGACGCGAAAGACACGTATGACGAACATGAGCTGAAGCAGCTGGAGGAGGAGGCGAAAGCCAACGAAAAGGCAGCCGAAGAAGCATCAGCAAAGCAACCCAATATGAATTTCGACGATGACGACGAATACGACGATCTGGGCAGGGGGTCGATACCAGATGGCGGCGTGAAGGTTATACGAAAATCATGACATGACATGGAATCTATCCCAGCATCTATATTCCATCCACACACACACTGTATAATATAGGGTATCTCTAATGAAAACGATCAAGACCAAACTCCCAGCACCTAGTCCCATGCCCCATCCTGAAACATAACTCCCATACACATCAGCCCATCATCAATCATCATCCTCACTCTCCATCACCACATCCACATCCACACCCAAATCCACATCCCCCTCCCCCCCAGTACCCGGCGTACTCACCTCCCCACCCACATCAACCAATCCACCCAACAACCCCTCCAAAACCCCACTCTCCTCCGCCTCCCTCAACCTCACAATCTCCCTCCTGGCCCTACGAATCGCCTCCTCCTCAGCCTTGCGCATCGTCCCCGACACCCTAATAACCCGAAACACACAAGCCCTGGTGGAACTCGACCTCTTCGACCCAGGGTCACTAAACCCAGGGACCTGCGACATGCAAGTCAACGCCGTCCAGACAAGCCTGAACGACGCGCGAGGACACCGAATAATCGCCGTCGAAGTAGCGGGGGAGAGATATTTCACTGTACACCCAACCAGTTAACCGAACCATCAGTCTCACTATCACAACACATAGCAAATAGAAAACAAATCAAATCAAAGATGAAGGCAGGGGAAGGAAACAAACATACCACTAATACCCCCCGCGCCAGCACCACCTAATCTACCAACACCGTAATCGCCAAACATGAGGGAGACTTCCTCTCGCACCATCTTTGCTAGTAGACCGGGTGTTAGGGCGTCGGATGTGGGCGAGTGGATTTGTAGCTGTGCTTGCGATTTAGATTTGGATTGGGGGTTGTTGTTGTTGTTGTTGTTGTTGTTCTTGGTGCGGGAGGTAGCTGCGGGCCATGTTGAGGGATCGGGATAGAGGATATCGAGGAGGATGTAGCGGTGTTTGAGGCGGACCATTGTTTAGTATTTTGGTGGTATTTGGAGATATGGAGGAAAGTTCGAGGTGGTTGTGTTGTAGTGATGGGAGGTTGATGGTTGGTTTTTGGTAGAAGTTGATTCGCGGGATGATTTCTGGGGTGAGATTTTTTGCGCGCCAGCTCCTAGTAGAGTGCGCGTGTGGTATTATCGACAATTGGGCCGTGGTCTGAATGGGAAGTTTGACGTCGATTGATTATGTTTGAAAGCTGGAAGATGGTAGTTATATCGAGCAGATCGGCGCGGGCAGAGGCCGTTTTTCTGCCGCATGTGGGCCTGCGCTGGATATACCGCCTACTCGGATGAAGAAACATACTTTGGGAACCGCAGATCAACTAATCATGCATAAAAAGTCCACTACAGCAATACATCTACGTTGATCTACGATTATAATAGAATGCACATTTCTTTAATCGTTGCGTGATATTCATCAACCTTTAACAGCGAGTCATGCCACATGTGCCACTACAGATTGTAAGTTGAAATAGATGAGATATGAAGCGAACCAAACCGATGCAGAAAGAAACATGGGTGAAAGAAAAACAGGCCATCACAACTCCGACGTCAACAATGACGGATTTTATGACTAATCCATGAGATGTAAATGTATTAAGTAGAAAATTAAACGCTGACCTCGACACGGCCCTCGGAGCCACCCTTCTGGAGGGCGGGGAGAAGGTAGGTGATGTCATCCCAGGGGTGTCTGTACAGACCAGTGCGGAGTCTCTTCTGGTCGAGGTAGTGGGCAATGAGACCAATGGAACGACCAAGGACGAAGAGACCGTTGAGGACACCCATCTTCATGTAGTCCTCAACCTCCTCGGAAGAGAAGGCACCGCAGTTGCGCATCAGGTCAACGAAGCAGACAGCAACGCAACCGTCGACGTTGAGGATGAGGTTGTCCTTCTTGGAGGTGGTGACAGTCTCGACGGCAATGGCGTAGTCGAGCAGCTTGGTGCTGGGGAAGTGCTTCTTGGCGAACTCCTTGACGAGCTCGACACGGAGATCGGGGTTGTTGCGGGACTTGACACGGTGACCAATACCGGGGACTGTGCATAGTTAGCGAGGCTGTTCGACATTACAGGTACAATGAAGGTTCACTTACTCAGCTTGTTCTCCTTGCGCATGGTGTCAACGAAGTCACGGGGGCTCATGCCCTTGTCGAAGGCCTTGGTGAACTCCTCAGCAGCGCCGTCCAGGGCACCACCGAAACGAGAACCAATGGTCAGGAGACCAGAGACGAGAGCGCTGATCAAGTCCTTGCCGGCACGAGTGGTGATGATGGTGTTCATGGCACCAGACACGGCAGGACCGTGGTCAGCAGTAAGCATGAGAACCATCTCAAGGAACTTGCTGGCGTAGGCAGGGAGGCGGCGGCGGAACCACAGAAGAGACATAACACCACCGATACCAATGTCCTCACGGAAGACATCAGAGATGGGCATACCGGCGTAGAGGAGCTCCTGGCCACGGTCGTCGGAGATGGTGGAGATGAAAGCAGCGGGCTTACGGACGAGACCCAGCTCCTGAGCCCAGGAGTAGTCGATGGGGATCTTAGGGACGACAGGCTCAGGCTGGGGCTTGACGATACCCTTCTTGACCTGGTCATCGTAGACCTCCTTGAGGGTCTGGGGAAGGTCCTCGAAGGTCTCGGGGACGAAGATACCGGCCTCACGCATGGCCTTGTTCTTGGCAACAGCAGTCTCGAGGTCGGAGTTGGCAGAGGCACCAGCGTGACCGAACTGAACCTCGGTCTTGAACATGCTAGCGCAGGTACCGATGGCCCAGGCGACGATGGGCTTGGTGATGGTGCCGTTCTTGACGGCCTCGATGACGCGGTACTCCTCAACACCACCGACCTCACCCAGCAGAACCAGGATCTTGCACTCAGGCTCAGCCTGGTAGCGGAGCAGGTGGTCGATGAAAGTGGTACCGGGGTAGCGGTCACCACCAATGGCAACACCCTCGTAGACACCGTCGGTGGTCTGGGAGATGATGTTGTTGAGTTCGTTGGACATACCACCGGACTTGGAGACGTAACCGACGGAACCCTTGCGGTAGAGCTTGGAGGCAACGATGTTGTCCATCATACCACCAGTGTTACCGATCTTGAAGGCACCGGGCTTGATACCACCGACGGTGGCAGGTCCGATGATGGTGATGCCCTTCTCCTTGGCCTTGACCATGATCTCACGAGCGCGCTGGTCTGCTGTTAGCGGAGAGCAACATGGTGTCTCTGATTTGCAAAACTTACTCTCTCGGGGACACCCTCAGCAATGATGGCAATGGAGCGGATCTGAGGGCACTCCATGAGCTCCATGGTGGAGCTGTAGACGGAACGGGAAGAGGCGAAGTTGACAACGGTGTCAACGTCAGGGTGCTTGGCCATGGCCTTGGAGACATCCTGGTAGACGGGGAGAAGAGTCTCGCTGGTACCCCAGTACCTGTAATTGCATCAGTATCTCAATTCAGGAGATGGGACCTGGTTTGCCGTACATCTTGCTCACGAACTGGCCACCGAAGGTGTAGATGATACCGGCGACGGAGGGAGTGGAACGCTTGCAGATGAAGTCGAAGTCAAGCATACCCTGGACAGCACGGGGCTGCATACCACTGTGGCAGGTTGTCAGCCAGAGCAATTGAGCACGGCTATAGACCATGACTTACTATACGAAACATCTCGTCTTGTTGTGGAAGAGGGCGTTGCTGAGGGGAGAGCGCACACGGCTGGGGGGGTCGAAGCGGGTGATGTTGTCGTTGGCGGAGGCGCCATTGGCGGTGTTGACGAGGGGAGCAGAGGTAGGCATGTTGGCTGAATACTCTGTGAGATCGAGCAAGATGTCAGTGTCAAGAGATCAAGAAGGTTTTCATAAAGCGGGTGCTGAGTGGGAAGAATCCGTGGGAGGGGAAATGCATCCGCCATGGTAATAATAATATATTGAACAACCCACATACCTGTCAACAGAGTTGGGAATAGGAGAAAGGATTAAAGGAGGATATTATTAGGTAGGTATGGGAGATATAGATAAATGAAGTAGTGACAAGCCGCTTCGTGAGACTGCGACCTGAACACAAAGGAAGTGTGGTTTAGGATGGTAGAGGGAGAAGGAGGGAGAAGAGAAGAAAGAGTAGGAAGCTGGAAGAGCGAGGCAACCAGATGGAGAAATGAGAAATTGGAGGGAGGAGGAAGAGGAGGAGAAAGGAAGTGGACTGATGGGAAAAAGACGGGAGATGAGAGAAAAACAAGATGTAAGATAAAAAGAAAATGGAACGGACAAAAAAAAAAGTAGCTAAAGGAGGGGACGATATCGGGAAGCTTGATGGGGGGGTAGAAAAATTATGGGGCCAAGTGAGGAAAGAGCAGGTACATAGTACAGAGTTGGTATGGGCGTATGAATGGGGTTCGTATCGATGGTACCATACAGTATCAATGATCCTGGCGCAGGCAACTCTTGGTCCGAAACAACCCAGTTGGGGAAATCTCGACAAGGATGGATCACAAATGGGTCAACTTCGCTAGAATAGTAGCAGCTATGGGGGGTGCGTTTCACTCGACTGGACTAGTGGCGAGCAACCCGAAATGACATTGCGCAGTCAGAAGCCGATTCTCGTCTATAGTTTTGAGATTGGAGATGGAGAGTGAAAGATTGATCCTTACGGAGTCCGGAGTCCGGAGTATAGTAGTACTATGCTCACAAGACGGGTGAATCAAGCGATTAGTGAAAGATTCCAATGCCCAACAAACTCCGTGGGGGATTGATTGACCGATCACTATACTACTACTGTATCTACTAGGAGAGGAGTCGGAAGGAGTACTCCGTAGTTGTTTACAACAAACTTGGTGACTACTGTCACCTGTTCGGCTAACTAATCGGAGGACTCCGTTGGCTGCCAAAAAGGAGAGTTGTAGGCAAGAATCGGAGCATGCAGAAATGTCTTGAATCAGTTTAGTATATGTTTAAAAACCGAAATAGACCGTCTGAGCAACACCGAGACCACGGTTCTCCGTATTACGGGGGCAAGGGCATTCTGATTGATACTGCGTACACATCGAACCGGGAGGTGGTTCTGGTGGTCTGGTTGGGGCTAAAGCGGGTGGATCCTACATCCGTCTGCTGGATCAGCAAACTGGAGGTCCCAATTGCGGCCAGGGACTGGGCCGATGCGTATGCACGAGGCCCCGTAAATTCAAAGGAGGTTTTTCTTTCCATTTCGCTGGCCGCTCACCGAAAGATCAAACGGCGGTATACTACGGATAATATTACTTGGAAAATATGAAAAAGTATGCTTCTGGAATCATACGGGCACCTACCCAAGTAGGTATATCGCCCTTCCCATCAATCTGTGGTATGTACCTTAGGTTTAGGCTTCCAACATATTGTATGTAGATACTAGATAGAGTAGTGCTGCCATGTTACCATCCCCTCTCATACATACATGACAGTTAGTATACTACCTCTACTACCACTACTACAGTCGTAGATAGCAAGCAGGGGTACCTGAATTCAGAACTATCCAGAACAAATTACTAGTTAGTTGGTGGGAAGAATCGTGGTCATTCCCGTAAAGTAAAGTAAAGTATGGGGAAATGTGAGCCGGGGAAGTAAGAAAACCACAAACCCCATTACATCATCGAGCAGGACACGTTATCTAGTTCAATGTGATCAGACATGTTTAGGTTGTCCAGCTAACACATCTGCCACTATCATTGCATTATTGGAGGTTGTAAAAAAAATCCTGGTTACGAGCCATTCAGCCATTCGGGACAGGGGGGTGATGATGGTGGTGTCGTCAACAAAATGAAGAGCGTCAAGCAAAGTACCCAACAAAAAAAGACGCAAGAGTCGAACAAGCCATTCTGGTGATTGTAGGGGGGGCTTCAGTATTGAGGCTACAGCGTAGGGCAGATACTGCGAGTCAAATACTCACGAGAATGGCTTCCGAGGATCCCCAACGCCGCCAATCCCGGCTGACAGGATGGGTCTTGGGCCGACCCGCTTTTTCTTACGGCGGCTCCACCGAATCTCAACAAAGTCCGCTGGCTGCAGCATCGCAACCCGCTAAGCCCCTTGTATTGCCCGAGCTCGGCCCTGATCGTACTCTGTATCATCTGTATCAAGGCGGTTTTGGGTGGTTTTTGGTTTTTACTGTGGCTTCAGTTGATCATTCCATCCCAATCCTCACTCCATCTTCGGACCCCAAAAAATTTGCTTCGTCGAAACTTCTCCTCCCCTCCCCCCTCCCCCCCTCCCTCTTTCCTTCCTAGTACCCTCCTTTCGCCGGCCGTCACTTATCATCACCGACTAATCGGCGCGCTTCTCTTGCAATACTCCGTTTAGGTTCTTTTTTTTCCTTCCCGCTTTGTTTCTTCTTTTCCTCCTCGTCCTCCCCTCCTCCCATCCTTCCCCTCTTACTCTTTACTTCCACTCTCCATTTTATTCTTGCTCCCTCCTTTTGGTTGGTGATTTCTTCCAGACCTTCCAAAAAATTAACACTCCAATTCCTTTCTCCTCCCTCTTTCTCTCTATCTCCCTCTACATACATCTTCCTCTAGGTATACCTCTCATCCATTCCGGGTTCATTACCCACCTCCAAACCATTGCTCTGCAGCTTCTTACATGTCTATCTAGTATAATTATACCTCTCCTCTTTCACCTATACAATCATCATGTCCGCCAAGTCGATTCTCGAAGCTGATGGCAAGGCCATCCTCAACTACCACCTCACTCGTGCTCCCCTCATCAAGCCTACTCCCCTCCCTCCGTCCTCCACGCACAACCCTCCTCCTAAGCTCGCCTCCCTTTACTTTCCCGAAGATATTGCCGTCAAGGATGTCCTCGACCAGGCTGAGGTCCGCTACCCCTGGCTGTTGACCCCCGGTTCCAAGTTCGTGGCCAAGCCCGACCAATTGATCAAGAGACGTGGAAAGAGTGGCCTTCTGGCCCTGAACAAGACCTGGGCCGAGGCCAGGGAATGGATTGAGGCCCGTGCTGCCAAGGACGTTCAGGTTGAGACGGTCACCGGCGTTCTCCGTCAGTTCCTCGTTGAGCCTTTCGTTCCTCACCCCCAGGAGACTGAGTACTACATCAACATCCACTCCGTGCGTGAGGTAAGTTTGTTTTTTTTCTCCGCCGCTTGATCGGCGCCCTCCGTCGCTGCGGGGTAGCAATGCTAATGCACCATGTTAGGGTGACTGGATCCTTTTCACCCACGAGGGTGGTGTCGACGTTGGTGATGTCGACGCCAAGGCTGAGAAGCTTCTCATCCCCGTCAACCTGGAGAAGTACCCCTCCAACGAGGAGATCGCTGCTGCTCTCCTGAGCAAGGTGCCCAAGGGTGTCCACAACGTCCTCGTTGACTTCATCTCCCGCCTCTACGCCGTCTACGTTGACTGCCAGTTCACCTACCTCGAGATCAACCCTCTGGTTGTCATCCCCAACGCTGATGCCACCTCGGCTGATGTTCACTTCCTCGATCTGGCTGCCAAGCTCGACCAGACTGCTGAGTTCGAGTGCGGTACCAAGTGGGCCATTGCTCGTAGCCCCGCCAACCTGGGTCTGCCCACCCTTCCCTCCAGCGACAAGGTCAACATTGACGCTGGTCCCCCGATGGAGTTCCCCGCTCCTTTCGGTCGTGAGCTGAGCAAGGAGGAGAAGTTCATCTCCGAGATGGATGCTAAGACCGGTGCTTCCCTCAAGCTTACCGTCCTCAACGCCAACGGCCGTGTCTGGACCCTGGTTGCTGGTGGTGGTGCCTCCGTCGTGTACGCTGATGCCATTGCCTCTGCTGGCTTCGTCAGCGAGCTCGCCAACTACGGTGAGTACTCCGGTGCTCCCACCGAGACCCAGACCTTCAACTACGCCCGTACCATCCTCGACCTGATGCTGCGCTCTCCCATCCACCCCGACGGCAAGGTCCTCTTCATCGGTGGTGGTATTGCCAACTTCACCAACGTTGCCTCCACCTTCAAGGGTGTCATCCGCGCTCTGCGTGAGGTTGCCCCTGTCCTGAACGAGCACAAGGTCCAGATCTGGGTTCGTCGTGCTGGTCCCAACTACCAGGAGGGTCTTAAGAACATCAAGGCTGTTGGTGAGGAGCTTGGCCTCAACATGCACGTCTACGGCCCTGAGATGCACGTCAGTGGTATTGTGCCCCTTGCCCTTCTCGGCAAGAAGACCGACATCAAGGAGTTCGGTTCCGCGTAAAAAAAGAAAATACAGGGCACGTTTCACTGAATTCTAATTAATTTAATTTCCTATGAGAAACCTTTTCATTTCTTCTCAATGCATGGCATGATATGGTTGTTTACGCTATCTTGTTAACTTGTTTCTTTTTTCATTTATTGACGGTACAAACGGTTTGCCCAGCTTTACACTGCAGGGCAAGTGGAAGAGGGGATACTCGTTCTGGAGTTGATGCTGTTTAGACTTAAGATAGTCGTTAATAGAACGATATGATCTCTGACTGTCATTGGAGCCATGTATCTACCAATTAACATATGATTGTATGCATGTAATAAGGCATTGATACGCTCGTAATTATCATGCGTCGGTATTCTTCAACCCCAGAACGCACAACCCCTCCCTCATTTATCCACAGTATAGGCACATAGTAGTATATGGGAATTGAATTACCCTACCACCCTCCCCACCTACCTCACACGTGGACTGCATATATACAATATGACACATCACAACCGCACAACAACACCAATAGCAAAGCTACCCTAAAACCAACCAGCACAGCAAATAAGGCACACACGCATACACAAGACAGGACAGCACCACGTCCACCTCATGCACACGCAGGTCCCAACCAAGGAACCAAGTCTACAACTACATATGTAAGTAAGTATGTATGTATGTAAGTAAGTATAATAAATACACAATACAAAAATACATACAAACATACATACAAGTAATCCTCCGTAACAAAAGGAAGTTGAAGTCCAAATAAACTACAACCCCGGTGCCACACCTAATCTCTCTCACACGGAAAGGCTAAACCCCAGATCCACAGGGCTGCAAGGGTAAGGAAAAGAAAAAGAAAGAATAAGATAAGATGAGCTTGATTTCTCGCGTGGCCAACACTATAATTGGAAAAGGATTTTCCTTAGCCAGGGGGGAGGGGTGGTGGTTGTGTGGTTGTGTGTGTGTGTGGCTTCCGTACGTCCGAGACGGGACGCGGATGGATGGAACGGATGTTAGTTTGTAGTATAGTGATGGGTAGGTGGTGGTGGTGGACGGATAAGCTTACAGCCTATGAGATGGCATCGATTAGAACGGGACGGGCCTTTGCGTGATCCATGATGGAGAATTTTACTTACTTCCTTTGGGGCTTTGGGGGCCTTGAGGGGCCGAGGATGGGTTTTAATTATTAATTTGTACGTAGTTGGCTGGTTGATTAGATTGGATCTTATCAGTTTCTTCTTTTCTTTGCTTTTATGTGCTGGTTCTGTGTGTGTGCTGTTCTGAGTGAGTGGTTGGTTTGTACTATGCTACCGAGGTAGTAGATATGTGATGGTGATCCTATGATATATTCAACCCTTATTCGTGATGTAGGATCGGGGATGTTGTTTAGAGGCGTGCCATGATGCTTTAGTCTATTGCTGAAAGAACAAGTTGATGCATGATTTTCATGACCGTTGGAAGTGCAGCGCGATGCTTCGCGTCTACTACTATTGTATTGTCGCGTTTGGTTGATCGGAGTGTACGCGGGTAGTATATAAATCCGCACTTTGCTTGTCAGTTTATATATCGCTACATACCAGACATCATCCACAATCCAGAGTATTAAACCTCACGAGGTGAGGAACACTCTTGAAACTGCAAGATGAGTAGAAGAAATATATAAAGCAACTACTCCCTTAATGACCTATAAGCAGAACCTGTACGAGTTATGCAGAATACTACACTACATTGATCTTACCAAGTCATTTATACACAGCTCCGAACGTTGACCCTTCAATAGATCTTGTGCTGAGTGACATAAGTTCCAACTCATTTTACTCAAGACCAGGAGAGTTATTAACCCCTCGACAATCCATCAAGCTTGAGCGAGCATTTCTAGTCACTAGTTACTGTGATTCCTAGTATGATTCCTACTACTACCTCCGTAGTCAATTGACTATTTAGCATCTCTGCTGACTGATCTCCACCATCCCCAGTTTGATCCGCGTTGGGCCTGTTACACCACCCGATTGTTGTTCTATTAGAACGATGCAGGGGTCTCTACAAGCTATTTGTTCCCGTCTAAATTGTGGTGTTATCGCTGATAAAGGTGTTGATGATGATGGCTGGTCTGTCTAATTTTACTATATCCGGTTCACCCATATGTCATTCCCCTTGCTGACTATTACCGATGCAGAATGATAGTTTAGTAGTTAGCTAGTATATCCTCGGAATTACCTACGCGTGTTGTCTCGTGGGGGTCAAGACGACGGGTCGATGCAGTCTACGCCTATTCAGCTGGCCATGAGTTTGAATTACCGCCTGATTTGGGATAAAGATAGAATGAACATTTTGTTTACGAAGAAATAATAGTGATCGAAAGGCTGCCCGCTTGCTTGACAATTTCTATGAACATCACGTTATCGGCCTTGTTGGACGGAACGGTAACGTGCAGACGATTCTACCCCAGAAGTTTGTCGTAGTCAATATGAAAAATAGCAGAGAGGAGATTATCATATCTGATTACTTGCCCTCATCGCGCCAGACAATGTAGGACAGGATGATTGCTATATTTAAAAGTACATCGTGTGGTATGTAAACAGTCATTTCACGCTTTCGATAATAAATGCCAGACAAGACGTTAGCCCAAGATGATTAGGAGGGACTTGTCGTCCCTCCTGATACCTCTTCGGTGGTTCTTTTTTTGATTATGAGTTTTCCCGGAGTTGGAAGGTTGAAGCTCATGATTTTGCGTAGGAGGTATAGTACAAGTGATTCGGCCTTAACCCGTGAACAGAAAGACAACGGAGCTGAATATCATTTCACTCGTCCAATTTACTCTTGGATCTTGGCAAGGATCCTGGTAGCATTCGTCAGTATACAATGTTTATTCAGAGCATAGTGGCAAGGGTGTGCATACTCATGGTCGCGGAAAAGAGTGTACTCGTCCTCACCGACCTTGACGGCGCTGCCACCGAACTATATCAAAAACTCGTTAGTATATGTGTTGATCAATAGCACATCAATCTGCGCGATGGACCAATGCTTCGCTTCTCGCATCGGATGGCCACGGATCGGACGGTCGACATACCTGAGGGATCAGGACACGGTCACCGGGAGCAACGCTCATGGGGAGGCGCTGGCCGTTCTTGTCGAAGACACCGGGTCCAACAGCGAGGACCTTGGCCTCGTTCTGCTCCTTGACGCTGCTCTCGGGGAGGAAGATACCGGAGGCGGTCTTGGCCTCGGGCTTGACACGCTGGACCAGGACGCGGTCGAGGAGGGGAGCAAGGCTCTTGACGTTGCGGAGGAAAGACTAATCAAGCAATCAATGCATTAGTAATGGTCAGAGATAGGTTGATTGGTGATTAGAGATGGCAATCCCGTCGGAAGGGGATGGACGTTGATGGGTGAAAAAGTTCATTCGGAGCTCTACAGCATCCGGTATCAATTGCAATAACATACCATTGTGATGAGAGTGTGTATAGAAGTGCCGGGCACGAGGAACAGCGTAGATTCAAGCGGGAGCGAGAGGAAATGGAAGCAAGTTGGGGACGTGGAGAGCAAAAGAAGAAGAGGAAGCGGCCGGGGAAAGAAGATCTGATCTGGACTCGCGAGAAATTTCCAGAATGCCAAGACCGACAGCTTCCATCCTCTCTGCCGAGGGTATCACCACTTCTTCGCTCTTCTTCCCTTTCATTCTGATCACAGCGTGCTCTTTTCCAATGTGCTTAACTCGCTTGACTATTACAGATAAATATTATTGATTCTTTTACATGATTGAGTGTACTCGGTCCTGGCGTCTGATGATGAGCAACAATACACTGCACTCGATTAGTAGCTCCCTTTCCCCGAGCAACCCGACCCCAGATCCGCACAAGAAGCTTAGCCTTCGGGAGTATTTCATTTATGAATAGGTTTACTACTTTTCTAGTACTCTGCTCGAATCGCCAATGCTGAGCTTTCGACAAGGTATTCGTCATTATAACAAGGTCGCAGCTTCAGATATACCTAGCTTTACCATCTTCTCCCGCGACCCCGACCAAAGCCGCCTCCGTATCCCATCTGAGGCTGGCCACCACCTTGCCCACCAAATCCGGGTTGACCTTGTTGTCCGCCGCCTGCGCCGGGTTGCCCACCCATCATGGCCTGCGCATGCTGCATAAATGCCATAGGATCCATGGATGAGGGGTCCAGACCTTGCGACATCATGCTCGTCAGCATGCCTTGCATCATCTCTTGTGACATATCCGGCATTCCAGGCATGCCGGGCATAGGAGGTGGTGCGCTTCCTGGAGGCCCTCCAGGTCCCGGAGGACCGCCGGGCATCGGCGGAAGCCCCATGCTTAAGAAAGCCTGCATATCATCCAATTGTTTCTTCTGATCTCCAATTTCCTTGCGTAGCTCCTGTTGCTTCAATACATAACTGGCCCACGTGAACTCGTCAAACCCGTAATTGAAATAATCTGTAATGTCGGAGCCTGGCCGCCTCCAAGGCTTGTCATCCTCTGGGAAGTCGGTGTCCATGTCTGTTAACATGATCGGTTTACCGGTCGCCGGATGGACAGGGTTCGCGTGGACATCGATGTTCGACGCATGGACTGGAGGGTAGGCGGAACCGGGTTTCTGAGAGGCCGCAGGCCTTGCAGCAGCAGGCACAGGGGTAACGGATTCAAGCTTAGGGGTAACGGTAGGCGTTATTGATTTTGATATCGTAGAAACATCTGCAGAAGAAGGTCTTTGAGACTCCGCGCGGAGACTGGCGTGACGAGGATGTGGGCTGTTCAATGGTTAACAAGGTGCAGTGTGTTGAACAGAGGTAGTAAACTTACACTTCTGGAGGGGGCGCATCTGCAGGTGCTTCGGTGATGATATTGAAGTCATCCTAGGTGAGAGTAAGAGACAGTAATAGGATATTTTAGCTGTCCATGCGCATACCTCATCTTCTTCTACCTCTATCTCCTCCTCTTCCGCATCATTGGAGTCCTGCGGTCCTGAATCTGCCGGGGGATGCTGGGATCCATTTTGATGCTGAGTTACAGGCACCGCATCGGCGGGATCGTAGAAATCATCGTCTTCGTCTTCCATCATCATGTTTGGAATCTGCGACCGAGTAAATGTAGAGAGGTAGGAGATGTGACGGGATGCGTTTCTGTCGGCGGCGATCCTGCGGAGATTCGCAAGTCGTCGGCTTTGATTTGTTTGTTCTCGTGCTGCTGGTTGGCTGGGATACTGAAGTCGCGAATCTAAGATGATCGGCTTCTTAACTCGCAGAGCCCCTTCTGCTAAAAGAAGTAGAGCAAGAATGTAGCACAAAAAACAACAATTGACGACAGTACTTCTTTTCTCAAGGCGCAGGCAAGTTGTGGTTGTTCCCGATCCGGCAATCTTGGACATCACGTGCCAGTACGTCAGTCGCATTCATGTGAGATTTATCGCCAATTTCAACGTCTATTCCTCGATACTCTCACCACATATACGTTATTAAAATGTCACAATCCGAACAGCCGAGCCATAGCTCGACTCCACGCTCGTTTACCAGCCAGACTGCGTCAGCAGAAGATCTGCTCAAGTCGCAGACAGTTGGTCTCGTCCATCTTTCCGACTTTCGCAAACGTCGCGCCGAGGTCTTAGAGCAAAAAGAGCGCGAAGCTCATGACAAATCCCTAGGGAGATTCACCTCCAGAAGTGCAACTCCATCTACTGGTGAAGTGACTGACGGGTGAGTCAAATCGCATCGTCAGAAAATCCCGGCTTGTAACTGATCGCAAAGCGTATAGTAACTCGACGCCACGAAGCGAGGGCCCGCCGAAGAAGAAGAAAAAGAAGCCTATCGCCAAGAGCAAGCTTTCATTCGGCGATGACGATGAGGAGGAAGAGAACGATAGCACCGCCGATGCAGTCGCAACGCCGCGGGACTCGAGTGTCCCGCGTTCTGCTTCCAGAACTCCTGTTGACGATAGCTCTGCGCCGTCCTCACGCCGCATAACACCAAACCCAAATGCCCCGCCTCCTCCCAAAGCAATGACGAAAGCCGCCTTGAAGGCAGAGGCAGAGGCACGGGATGCGCTCCGCAAGGAGTTCCTTGCCATGCAGGAAGCTGTGAAGAATACCGAGATATTAATCCCCTTTATATTCTTCGATGGGACCAACATCCCAGCGGGAACTGTCAGGGTCAAGAAAGGTGACCCTGTTTGGTTGTTCTTGGACCGATGCCGAAAGGTTGGAGCAGAATTGGGTGTTGGTGGTAATAGCGGAGCATCCAAGGCTCGCAAAGATAATCGTCGCGAATGGGCTCGAGTTAGTGTTGATGACCTAATGTTGGTCAAAGGAGAAATCATCGTTCCACATGTATGTATCCCAACTATTTCATATGGTTGCATACGCTGACTGGCACAGCATTACGAACTCTATTATTTCATCGCCAACAGTGTACCCGACTTCACCAAAGCGGGTGGTCTGTTGTTCGATTATTCCAACAAACCACCCCCGGCACCTTCGACAGACGATCCTTTATCACGCCCGGAAAGCAGCCAACTAGAGGGCGCTGATAAAGATCCATCTTTAACCAAGGTGGTTGATAGACGGTGGTATGAGCGGAACAAACACATCTTTCCGGCCAGTCTCTGGCGAGAATATGAACCAGGGCCTGAGTTTGAGGAGAAGATGCGGACGACAAGGCGTGATGCTTCTGGAAATACTTTCTTTTTCTGATGCACATTTGGCTTGAAGGTTATGGCGTGACTGATATAAATAAGAGCGTTGAGACCATAGATGTTGTATATTCCTGAGATACCCAATAAAACCATAGCTTGCTCGTATATCACAGTAGCTTAGTCGTACTGTCTGCCTGATCTAGTAATCTGTATCGAAGCGACCGGGGTGATACCGCGGCAATTTCCATATTGAGCCTTGGTTCTATGTGTAATGCATCTTAGCTCAACACCCATCCACCCTTGAACATCTATCTGACCAACTCTGCTGATTCTCTTCACCGAAGGTAATTGATATCGAACATGGATTTCTACCTTCGCTGCAACTCTCTGAAATGTCGAGAACAACTGAAGGAGAGGGCAGTCGTCACCACCTGTTCGTAAGTACCTTCATTTGCTGCATCTCGAATTTCCCTTCTATGACTGTCGAACTCAAGAAAAAAACGCTGAGCAACCGAGACACATCTTCTGTCTCCACTGCGCAGGAAGCCTTGGTCTATCGCACCCCACTACCAAAGAGCGAATTTGTCCAGCCTGTCAGACTGTCCTCGTGAACCCCGATGACGCGGTAGCAACGGCCCTCAACCCAACGGAAGACTACAAGACCAGTGTTCTAAGCGGACTAGATCCGAATACAATTATGGAGTGCGCGGGACGGGCGTTGCTCTTTTGGACATACCAGACTACACAGGAAATGTGCGTTAATTGATATCGTGAATGACCTGGATGTCCACTAAGAATCTACAGCTTCTACCAGGAGTACCTTGCAAAGACACTGACAGAGAAGTACACCAATCTGAATACACAAATGGACAAGGTCATACACAACGCGAACTCGGAAATATCGGCCCTACAAGCGAGAATATCAGGTCAGCCTGTCTCCAACACGGCAGTACTCAATGAAACCATCTGACAACAAAGCAGATATGCAGACAGCACAGGACCAACTTCGTAAGAAGAACCAGGAGCTAGTCGACATGTATCGAGACAAGTGCAAGAAATTCACACAAATGACAAACTTATACAACATACTCAAATCCCGAGCGATGCGATCCCAAATGCAGACCGCTGCAACAGATACTGTATCCCAAGCGCTGGATTCGCTAACAGCCTCTCGAAACAATCTATCTGAACTTGAACCCAAACACACAGAGACATCGAGACCGCCACAAACCCCATGGTCTAGGCAATCCAACGTATATCCCGTCAACCAGGAAGGCGTGGAACAACTGCATCGTCATCAACGGAGCGGAACTGGAAGTTCAAAAGGTCGCAAAGAGAGGACTGATGTCGCTGCAATGCCACCGCCTAGTCGTCCGACAGACATTCGGAGCAAACGTATGCATCTGGACTACAAGCTTACATTGCACGTACTGACACTGTATAGACAATCAGCCTGCCGCAACACCACAACATCGAACCCGTCTCGTTGGTCCTTCACGTCCTTCAACGGGGAGAACACAGCTTCCTCACGACAGTATAATGCTGGAGCGTTTCCAAGCTGAGGCTGGCCCAGCTGATGCTATGCTAGACACACGAGGTACAATGAGAAGAACGGACGCCGGCATGCAGATTCCTCCCCAGAGACACAGTCCCACAGAACGCCCTAGGCTGGGCTCTTTCTTTGACAGTACGATCATATAGCTATACTAGATAGTCTTACACATTACCAGAAGAAGGAGAATGTGGGATTATTGCGATACTCAAGAAGATGTCAAACCGGCCGGTTGTAGCTACTAATATACCAATAGTACCATATTCGCCGCAGATAGAATATAAATTAGTATTGAGCTGAGGCGGACATTGTCGACCCCAAAATGGCCATAATGGCACTCCACCAATACAAGAGTGCCTTAACGAGCACAACGTTGTATGTTTGAGAACTACTCTACTTAATATCTGCCCATCAATAGTATTTAATTTCTTTACTTGGTCCAATTGAAGCCAGTGCAGTACCACATACATCGCCATCTATTACGTTCTCTCAGGACAATAGCAACCCAAACAGCTACCAACATACTACTTTCCAGCTACTAGTTTTGTTAGGATGCTCTTGCCTTAGGTAGTACTCTTAAACTACGCCTATCCTATGAATATGATTGCTTGAAAACCATACAGTCATACCAAAGAAACCTGATGAAGTGCGTGGTGTGAATAGGCAACAGTGGTTGACTAGATGAGACAAATGCAGGTGAATAAGAAGTATGTTTACTTAGATGCCGGACCCCCCTTTTTTTTCCCCTCCAATTTCCTTCTTTTCTTTGTTTTAGTGAAATAGATAGTGTTCAAAGGACAATCAAAAGACGGGAACTTATGGCTACAGCTTAAATTGAATTGTGCACTGGCTAACACTTTACAGACGAAAGAGAGAAAAGGGACAGATCAAGCGAGAAAGATAAACAAAGATCACAATACCAGATAAAGAAAACAAAGTACACCTCAAAAGGAATCAGTCCTTTGAATTCACAGTTTTACTAGCAAGCGCAAGGATCCAGCCTGCAATGGTATCAGGGGAAGAGGGTAGCACAACGGGGTAGATATTCAGGTTAGACATAGAGCTACAAAAAGAAGTAAAGGCGATTAGAGATGAAAGCATGACTTTATCGATGGTGAACCCACTATTTGGAAAATCTGATATTGTACCACTGCAATGAGAAAGAAGAACATATATATTTTCGTACTTTCTCGCAAGACGGAATACGCGTTCTCGTAAAGGAGAATTGACGCTGGGAATATCTCCAGCCATTTTTGATTTATGACCTGGGAGGAATAGCTGTGTTGTTGCTTGGGAAGTTGTCAAGACTATACCAGTGTTGGGGGCGACCATTATATCAGCTTCGTCATCGCAATTTGATGGAATGGTGTTTCTGGATTGAATATGACTTCTAGATGTCAGTTTCCAGCTGGTTGCACTAGAATCCCTGTAGATGATCGACGTGGCTGGATTCATACTTTCAATGCACTGGACTATGCGTAAGTGGCTTTGGAGAAGTGATGTTGACAGGGAGAGTATCATGGGTTCGTGTTTCTGAGGCAGACAATATGGGATGGCCGACTGATTGAAGGAGACAATCTCAGATTGTCTGCGAGGTGGGGTGTCAGTTGGGTGGTTATCTGATGTTTTCGCACGCAGCGATACATCGTGCTCATTTCCAGGCGTTTCTGGGGGCATATCCTTAATGAAATAATGGCTCTGAGTGGCTACTTCTTGTATGGAAGCCTGCCCTCTAGTCTCCATAAACCGTGATAGGGAGCCAAGGCTCGTGGTCAGGTGTTGTCTTAAAGGTTGTGCTTTCCCCTTCACAATAGGCGGGTTGGCTTTGTGATTTGCACTGTCGGTCTTGTTATTATCCTCCTGAGTGTTATCCAACTTTCGTTTCCGCACCAGTGATGGATTGCCTAGGCTAATATTGTCATAAAGCTGGGGTAGAGCTTCAGGGAGGCAGGAGGCCACTGAGGGATCATCTTCTATACTAGTTGGAGTGATTAGGTATAAATCCGGTACCGGAGCCTCAGATATTGACTCTGCTGAACAGTCTGGAAAATCCTGTATGTATGCTTCCTGATGAGACGAGCTACATGCGGATAAAATTGGGGAGTAGCTTGTTCGAGAGGGAAGATCCTTGACGATAGAGTTATTGTACGGAAAACAGTCAGATGTTGCAATGTTATCCGTAATCTCAGTGTAGGTCACTCGCGAAGTAATGCTGCTCGGGCTCCTGGGTATTGTCACAGCCATGATGACTTGCTCAAAATCGGATGCGAATGCCTTTTCGTTGGTCATGTCTATATCCGCAGGGGACATTCCATCAGGTGGACCTCGCTCGTTGGGGGATGACCGACTTAGAGATGGATCATGCGACAGTTGCCTGTCTGTTCCTTCGAAAACCTGGTTCTCGAAATCACTTTCTAGTATTGAAATTGGACTCCCTGGGACATTTTCGGTTCTAGAGCAGCCTTCATAGTGCACGGTATCGATGTCGGTTGGTACCTCAGCTGAATCATGGCGAACGGGACTCAATAGGAGGTGGTCACTTGAGCTCAGTGGCGGGCTATCGCAAGAAAAGCAGTCGTCATCTAAAGGCAAAAGGGGCGGGGACTGAAGATGGAACCGATCTTCCTGTGTTCAATTTCAGCGAGAAGAATGAGAGAAGCGCGAGATGACCCCAGAAACATACCTCAGCCACGTCTTCAAGGGGACACAGCAAGTCATCCAAGTCCAGAGGACGATTCCCAGCCTGCCGTGCACCTTGAATAAGAAGCAATGCGTCCTTAGAACAATCTAGCTTCTCATTGCCAACTCTTTTCTCAATTATATCTGCCTCATGTATCAAAGGGCTCAAGAGATTGCTATCGTAGTCGCTAGCAAGTCCCTCAAGTGAATAGAAAAGATTATCTTCTCGAGAGTATCGAAGCGGCTCAACTGGGAGTACCAGATTTGAATCATTGTCAGAGCTGAAGAGAGGTGGTTCTAACTTCAGATCATCATATTGATCCCACGAAGGAAGGACTTCATCCCAGCAGTCATCGATATTATCTCGTTTAATGTCGCGAAGCACTGACGATAGGAATTGAACGCTTTCTCTTCTAATATCGAGCTTTTCAAGATGTAGGGTCTGCTCGATAACTTGCTGGCTGGATGCGAAAATTTGCTCAATAACTGATGAAGTCCCGTCTGGTGGGTGAAGATAATCGGGAGGGATATCGCAAATATCGTCGATATGCTGAAGAGGGTCAAGATCTGTGTAGTCAGTAGCTATGCCATAGAAGCGGGCATATTGGAGTAAAGACACGTCGTTTGTGTTTGCCATCGATATGTATATACTGGTCGTATTGTCCGCGACAAACTTGTGAAGGCCTTGCTAGAAGTAATTTGGTACTAATGATGTGACAAAGAGAAGCACGTGGATTAAATCAAGGTGGGAAGACTTGACTGGTATTAGCCCAAAATTATGTACGCCTAATTTCTAAAACTCCGTAATGTATCGCTAGTTATTTAATTATCAGCCCGAAGTACTGAGAGCCAGCTCTCATATTCCCGCAAAACCTTTGTATCACGCTAAGCACCCAGAACATTCAAATAATTTGCCAAAGTCTTGGTAGATCAGTCATTGTAATTAGACTGCCGGGAACCATCCTTGTTAACAGGCGGCAGGTTGTAAAGAGCGATGAATTCCTCTTCTTGCGATTTTCCTGCCGGATCCAAGACGGGGCGCTCTGCGTGGCAGCAGACGCGCACAGCATGGCGACGGTGAGGAGCGAATCCATAAGAAGCAGAGTGGTTCTATCAACAATTAGCTTAGAGCTTAAGTGTACTGCGAAGGACATGATACTCACAGTGGTTCTATTGTCCCAAATCGCGACATCATTCTTGTTCCACTGGAACCGCGCGTGCATCTCTTGAGTTGTCGCAATAACTTCTGTGAGGTATCTGATGATAGCATCGCTTTCGGTCTTTGGGATTCCCACAATCTTTGTGACGAAGCCAGGATTGAAAAACAGACTGTTCCAGCCAGTGACAGGGTTTGTCCGGATGAGAGGATGTTCTGTGGTAACCGGATCTCTACGGACAGGTCGACCAAGAGCATGCGAGTCCGAGGCCTGCATATCCGCCGAGTGTAGAGCAGTCAGGCCCTTGAGGTATGTTTGCATATGAGGCGATAGCGCATCATATGCAGCGTATTGAGATGTCCAGAGCGTATCACCACCACCTCCCCGTGGCGGGCCGGTCAAAACCTTGAGCGATGTGTATGAGGGAGGCTGGACTTCATATGTAACCTAATATCTCTCATCAGTCACATATTCGGTATCACAAGCAAGGGTAGCCCATACATCTGAGTGCCAAAGGAAGCTGGGTGTGAACATTGCTCGCTGGTCAGTGGAGTTGTCTCCAGTGTAGACGACGTGAACGTCCTCCAAACCCTCTCTTCTCGGGACAGACGTGGTCGCGTGCTGGAAGGCAATGGCATTAGCAAGAATGCACATCGTATGTAGATAGACCCTTCATACCTTGTGCAGCTTCCCGAAATGTCTACCCAGGTCACGCTGGGCATCGATATCCAAATCATCCTGTCCTCGGAAGAAAACCACACCACGAACAGCTACCAAACGAGCCAAGTCATCCTTCTGTGCGTCATTCAGCTTCGCCAGATTCACTCCATGAACCTCAGTTCCGATCTTGGGGGTGTAGTCGAAGACGTCTGTTGCGTCTTGGAGTAGATTCCGGAACTTGGCGTCTCCGTAGATACCCCTATCCTCATACGGCGTTTCCTCTAACGGAGGCCAATGAAGATCAGGAAAAGTAGGGAGAAGGTCTTGGTACTGGTAGTTGTCATGCTTTTCCACGACAGTTCGGCCTGGCTGGTAACCAAACTTGTTGTCATCTGTGACTTCCTTCTTAATTACGGGAAGGCGGCCGACTGGGTGGGTTACCACGGGGTCCACGAGTGATGGCGCCATGGTTTATGCGGCAGAGATGACCGTGATGTACAAATGTGCTGGTGGAAACGATACTAAGAGGAAGTGTTTGTATGGGGACTCGTTTGACACAGAGACTGGTATTCGATGCAAGATGAGATTTTGGGTTTATATAGAGATAGATGCACACATAGAGGACGAAGAGGCCACATCCTCCATTCCATTTT